GTAGTTATGCAATAGGATTTAACCAACAGAAACATGAAGGATGTACATATTTGATTTATGAAGGAATTGTAGTTACTAACTTCATACTCAAATTATCACCAACCAGAAATTGCTAGAAAAATGGCCCCAATAACAATGCTGTAGTGAACCATTGGAGGGAAAAAACTGTATTTGAATTAGATTTAGCATGTTTAAAAACATTTTTTAAAAAAATGTGCCTACACAACACACATGGAAACACAAGATTTTTTTTGCCTGTGAGGTGTGTGGATTTTTGTTGCTGTTGGAAAGCAAAGTATTTTGCTCCTCAGCTGCGAGAGGGTCATTTATTTTAAATCGCTTGTGAAACCAATTTATTGTTGGCATATGTGAACACCTCTGTCAATGTCAATTGTCTGTTGGGTTTTTCATATGTGGCCTTCTTTGCTTCCTTTCCTTCTCTAGTGTTTCTCCTTTGCAAGGCTAGAAGTGCCGATCTAGTTAAAACGTCTCTTATCCGTTTCAGCCCCAGCTGGAGATTCCTTGCTCCCATGCACACCCAAGCAGGAACATGTGCAGGTCTCCCTCTGTTCCAAACCTAATCAATGTCTCTGGTCAGTTTCAGCCGTAGCAGCCTCTTCTCCAGGCCCCCTCTCTGTGTCTGTCTGTCTTCTGTGCTCCTGTGTCAGGCTGCAGGAAAACCATTCCTTTCTCCCCCCCCCCCCCCCCTGGACTAGCTCTATGCCAGATTGCAAGAAATTTAAAAAAAATTACCAACATTATTTTTAAAATGACACCACAGCTGGTGGCTGAGAGAGGCAGCCAGCGAAAGGCAGACGGGCACAAGACACAGCCTTAAATGTAACCCTTCTAAAAGCTTGTGTAGCCCCTCCCTTGACTGATATACAACATGGCTTAAAAACAGATGAGTAGTTTTCCCAAGAGGATGCACACATCGACCCCAAAGCCATGTGACTACCATGCCACTTTAAACTGAATTCAAAACCCCTGATCCATTGCCCAATTTATATCATTAATGTAATCATGCCCAGTGTGTGTGTGTCTCTGTGTAACTGAACAGTAGCCCTTGCTCCACCTTCCTTGAAGCAGCTGTTTCAGATGACTGCTCTCCCACCCCATCCCTTTGGCTGGTGGATTCTGGGTCTTGTGTTTCAAACAAAAATTTCCCTCGCTTTCATGATAAGTTATCAAAAAAATTACACCGGATTTACTGCACCATCGTTTGCTCCAAAGCTTAAAAGCAAAGTGTCTGGAGAGGGACAGGAAAAGTTAACACAAAGGCATTAAAAATTTAAACATTCATTTATTAGAATATTTATGTAAAAAGACTCTCTTTACACATATTTCTTTTATACAATAGTTTCCATTGCTTTAACAGCTCCCAGTGGGAGACAAGAGCATTCGTACGTGAAAGCACATACAGGCTGTTGGAGGCCAGGGTGACGGACACCTGCTCAGCCCTAAGCAGCGAGCAGCGGAAAAGCCCACGTTAGGTAGAGAGTATGCAGAGATACGGAGTTGGTAGGGGGCCAGCTGGGCGGAGCCCCCCCTTCTGCTGCTGCTCCCCTCCCTTCCCTGTGCCGCTAGCAGCTCCTTCCCCCCTTTGGTGGGGTAAGTGTGCTGCAGGGCTCGGTGGGTTGGTCTCTCATTTGGATGGGAGAACAGGCAAGTGTGTGCGGAGCAGTTTAATGGGCCTGGTGTTCTCCCTCTGGCCCGGAGGGGAGGTGGGGAGGTGGGCCTGGGGGTCGCTGGACAGACAGGGCAGCGAAATCACAACACCATTTAGCGCAGGCAGGCAGACACTGTATGGCTCTAAAAAGGCACAGCGAGGGGCAGAGAAACGAAGCGCCCCCTTCAGAGCAGGGCAGATGGGGAGGCAAAGAATGATGAAGAGTGTGGCTTATCAGCAGCCCCCAGCATGGCTCTGTAAGAGGGCACAGTCCTGGAAAGTCAAGTTAAATAAGGAGACTCACAATATCCAGAGTCGGTACCCAAAGTGCAAATCTTCTGCCACTTCCGTGGCCTCTCTCCACCTGACTCTCCACGCGCACTCACACGGCACACAACCGGCACGTAGAATTTGATGTGATCTGATTTGATTTAGTTCATTTTAATTTTAATTTTTTATTTTTGGACTATAACTCCCAGAACCCCCTCCCCCGCCAGCTGCCCAGGGATGTAGACAGTGATAGTCCAATAATTTAAAAGAATTCCAAGCTCCGTTACACACACATTCTTAAAACAAACAAACAAAAAACAAAATGTTAAGTACACATGATTAGCTTAGAATAATCAGAGCCAGTGATTAGAACTTCAGTATAGGACGGGGGTCATGTCATGATGCAATGCCCTGTAAAGTAGGGACTGGAAGCCTTTGGCCCTCCAGATGTTAATAGACTGACCTCTCAACGCCCCAGCCGAGAAGGCCAGTGCTGAGGGATTATGGGATTCATTGTCCAGATATCTAGTGGGCTAAGGTTTCCTTATCCCTGTAGGATCCATGGTGCAGAAAAGCAACCTGCGAGAGCCAGACAGCTTGCTGTCCAGACCTTTTTCTACCTCTCTGAGTAGAAGCAATGGCAAACACTTGTAATCTTTGGAGAGAGAGAGAAAAAAACATCTTTGGCCAATGGCTGCCCTACCAAAATGGCAGATCAGCTTGTGGTCTCTACTTGGGTAGGGACAGGAGTGATAACCTGGCCCATAAAGAACAGGCTGCAAATGAAAAATGGAAACACCAGGCGACAAAAGACGAAGTTTGACCCCCTCTTCCCTGAGAAAATTCTCCCCCCTATGGGGAAGCGTTAAACTGTGCCACTTTCTCCACCTGCACTCTAAAGTTTGACTGTTGCCCTTGTGTTCTGATCTGGGTCAGAAAGAACAGGCGAAAGCGGCCAGGAGGTGGTGGACAAGCACTGTTGTGCCATACCCTTGTGCTGCCGTTCTGATCACCAAACCCCCCTGCCTTGAGCATCAACATCTACATTAGGGGAATCTGTTTTTTTTTTCAACGCGAGTTCTTCCCAGGATGGAGGAACCTGGTTTTTCAGCAAAGGAATCCCTGCTGCAGAACATCACTCTAAACATGAAGAAAATGACAAAGAAAGGGAAATAGAGCTAACGTGCTTGTTCTCCCCATCCCTCTCTCTCTCTCCCTGCCTGTATAACCACACAACCCTAACACTTGAATCAAAGAGCATCTACACTCTACAGTTATACCGGTTTGACAGCACTTTAACGGCCATAGCTCCCTCCAAAAGAATCCTGGGACCTGTAGGTAGGTGAGGTCTTGCAATTCTCTGTGAGTTCAAACGAAGAATTCATGGTCTCTCACCAAACGACGAATCTCAGGGTTGTGCAGGAGGGAGCCGTGACATATAAAGTGGCATCGGCTCAAGCCCTCAAGTGCAGATAACAGTCTAAGGCTCACGTCTGCCTTGGACTCAACCCTTTGCGGCTCACCCCACCCAAAGCAAGGATTTGCTGTACTGTAGTTTCCAGATATTAGAGGCCAGCCGATACTTGTAAGGGTGGATTTACTCCTGACTGTAGCACAAGCAATGTCAAATATACATTCGACGGGAAAGGATGGAGACAGAGTTCTGTCGCTCAGGATAATGGGAGGCTGGACCCAGAAGAGTGAGATCAGGAAGAGTGATGAGCAAGTCAACTGGACGAAGCACAGAGAAACCTAGCTTTTTCCACTACGGGGGTGAAGAGCCTTTGGAAGGGCACAATCCTGGCTGGACTCTGCATGGAAGTTATTGCCAAAACGCCTGGGAATCCTAAAGGTCCCCTCTTACCCTGTTCTATTGAAACTGCGATGCCCTTTGTATGAGAAAGCTAGGGACTGTGCTCTGGAGAGGGGAAGGTCGGCAGGAGATCAGAGTCAGGCAGACAGAGGGAGGCAAGAAGCTACACTGAGACGAGCTTGTCAAGAACAGGGGTCCAGAAGGCAGTTATAAGGATGCTCCTGGCTGGATCAGGCCTCTACGGCAGGAGAGAAAGAGCTTCCCTGCATCAGATATGGCTAAAAGAGTAGGTCTCAACTCAGCTACCAAGTAGATTTCATGCTCCCAACTTGAAAGGAAAAAAAAACATTAATATTAAAGCTTTTTTTACTAGAGAGGGTACAGCAGTTCTGCCCCCACCCCACGCCCGACAGAGCCAGTATGTAAAATGCACTTCTTCATTTAACATCTGCACACCTTTCTGTGGAATAACTTGCGAAACAGATACTCTTGTGTTTAAAATTTTAAAAAAATAAATAAACATAAAGCAGCAGTTCTATATGTATAACCATGTAGTATTCATCTTTGGTCAACAAAATGTTCTTGGAGTGATTTCTTTAAAAAGGTATTAAGATCACAAGAATAGAAAATGGATACCTCAAGGGAAGGAGAACCATGTGCAGAAGAAGCGATCAGCAGGGAGAATGTGGGGTGTACTGATTTAGGCAAGTGGTTGTGGCTCTTTACATGTGGCCACGTGAACCCTTTGGTGGTGGCAGGAGATTTTTGCTCATGCCATCTTACCCACATGGTTACTAATGTCAGTGAAAGATAAACTCTCACCCTCATAGCAGGCATAAACTGACACAGCCGACTTTCCATTCTGGAAGCAAAACTGCTCATTTTCACACCACTGGTGTCAGAAAACACAAACAAGCTGCAAAAACAAGCCACAAGAGCTCAAGTTTGGAAGTTGGAAAGGTTCAGATAACTTATATATGGCTTCGTGGAATTTAAGTTAACAAACCCCCAAACTCTAAAGCTTGGATTGGCCGACTGAGCTTGGAAAATGTCACTTGGTGGGCGACAGCCCCAAGAATCCAGGGAGAATCGGATTTGCTGTGCTTTAGCTCTACAACTGCCCAGTACCAGCAACTGGTATTGAAAAGGGTAGCATTTGAGGTGAGGGTGGAGGCAACCCAATACCTTTCAAACCACCCCCCCCAGTAAATAAATAAACAAATGACTGGATTTAAAGCACACCGGATGCGGATTTCAAAGGCTTTTTTTAGAGGGGGAGCAGTGAAATACCTTACTGAGAATATCAGGTCTAGGAGCTATCAAGCTAATGTACAGCTGGTGAATAGGAAGCAAATCCAGAAGAGAGAATTCTGGCTTCACAATTCACCCCAGGCACCATAGACTCAGCCCATGGCAAAGCAAAAGGAGGACTGCCCAACATGAGATGCTGTCTAGCCCCAGATTCCTACTACACCTGATGCCAGGTGAAAGAAAATATCCCCAGCTTTTCTGGTGCATTCGGAAGGCCAGAGCAACACCCTCTCCAAAATGAAGTGCAAGTGGATGAAAGGTTTGAGGCACACAAATAAGAGCAGTCTCTGGACCCTGCAGGAAAAGACAGCCGTGGGGCGAAACACACCCTTCTCTGCCTTCTCAACATGGTAGGAGTCCTGGCGGGGAGTGTCAACTCCGACACCCTTTGTTTCCTTCATAAAGCGGCCCAGCGGACACAAGATACATTCCATTTTGGTGATCTCTCTTACTACCTAGCAAAGTTTCTAAAGTGAAGATGCGGGGGTAGGATCAGAATGATTTGGGGATATGTGAGGCGGAATGATTGGGGTGTGTGGAGAGGAAGCGAGATGCCCCATAAAGTAGATGCATGAGAGCTACTGTGTCTTTTGAGTGCACGTGCAGGGTGCTCCCCCTTCAGGCCAGCTCTAGTAGTGCATTTCGGGGCTCACTGCCCTTTGGGGATGAAGGGCTCCCCCTCGTCAGGGTCAGGCCGCGGCCCAGGGTCACTGAGGCATCGCATGATCCGCTGGTTGCTAGGGCTGTCCCCGGTCCCTGGGGTGAACACGTCATCCGTGCCTGGAGAGGAAGGCTCTTTGGCTCGCATCACCAGCCCTTCTTCGTCCTCCTCTTCCTCCGGGGATGGCGGGAGGCGGTTCGTCCCCTTAATTGCCTCGTTTACTAGGTCAACAGACTCTGGAGACTGAGGGGAGGCGGGGTCAATGGTTATGATGGGAAGGTTCTCCGAGTTGGGCTTGGGGTCATAAGCTAGAGGGTCTGGAGCAAGAGAGGGAAAAAACAAACACCACTGAAGGGAGGAGAAGACAAAAGGAGTAAAATCAACACCATCTCCTGATAACAAGGCTCACTTTTCCTTCCTGAATTAGAACGTCACACTTACAGACACACACAAAAAGCTCGACTTCCGGGTGTTTTAACAGGGACAAGCACTGACTCCAAAGAAATCTCATTCTCCTCCATTTTTGCCCCCAGGAACCAAAACTTATGGACCTTTAAGGGGTGCGTGAGAGAGGTGAGAGGCTTCACTTTGTAGAATGCGCACAGGCAGCTTCTGGAAGGGATCCAGAGCATCCAGAGCAGCCGCAGGGCAGTCCCTGTTCTTTCTTATGCTCTTGCATCAGTGGATCTTGGCAGGCTTCCTTCCAGTCGGGGAGCCATCCAGAGACACAATGGGCAGCCTCTCGTTTGAGGACAGGGAATTCCGCATTGGTAACCAACGGACTGTACCAGCTACACACATTCACTGAAGCAAAGACTGAAGGACATGCGGCAGCCCCAAAATGAACCCGGTTAGGGAAAAGCAAGGCCTGGGCAGGTGATCAGCGATTGATGAGGCCCTTTGCTTCAGCCTCCTTTTTTGCCTTCATGATCAAAGCACAAAGGGGGGGAGGTTTCCAGACTGGGCCCAGACAGCCCTGGCCTCCCAAATGCAAAGGCAGGAAAGAGCCAAACCCCTTGTGGACTCACTATTAATGTCTCCCTGAAGGAGGCACTTGGAGAGTTTAGAAGTACAGTGGTGCCTCGCTTTACGATTGCCCCGCATTACGACAAATCCGCTTTATGATGATCTTTTTGTGATCACAAAATGATGGTCTAAATGGGGGAATTTCGCTTTGCGATGATTGGTTCCCTGCTTTGGGAACTGATTCTTCGCAAAATGATGTTTTTCTAACAGCTGATTGGCGGTTTCAAAATGGCCGCTGGGTAATTAAAATGGCTCCCCGCTGTGTTTAGGGACGGATTCCTCGCTATACAGGCAGCGGAAATGGCCCCCGTATGTAGGATCTTCGCTGGACGCTGAGTTTTTACCCCATTAGATGGGGTTTTTTATTTCGCTTTACGATGTTTTCGCTTAACAGTGATTTTCCTGGAACAGATTATCATCGTTAAGCGAGGCACCACTGTACACAGGTGTGCAATGACACGCACACACTGGGACCTTTCCTCATCTAGCCAGGATTGCAGCTGGGGTTAGAGAGCAGCCTTCTTAGAAAGCCCTTTACATGTCCAGTGACCATGGGTATTAACCATAGCTGGGAGAAGTTATTTCTGGGGCTAAAATTCACAGAGTCTCCCGGACACCACGGACAGTGGTGTCCGGGAGACCTTTGGGATCCTGGGATCTATCATCCCATACAGGAACATTTCCAAGGTCTGGAACTGAATGATGGAAAAAGAAAAGGTTGGACTGTTGGAGCCGTTACTCACTTTTCATACCCACCGGCAGTTTTCAGCTCATACAGGAAGACACACAACCTCACAAGGTGTACAAAATAAAGGGGCCTTGGGAGGTGGGGTGGGAAATGGAGATCTAAGTAGGTAAAGGAAGCAGGACTTCCTAAATAGGAAACAGGGGATTCAGGATTGCTAGGATGTGTTCTTGGTTTTACGGGGGAAGTCAAGGGAGGAGGTGACAGGCTTGTTCAGACCACAGCAGGGATGGCTGGGTTTGGTTCCATTACCTGCTGAGGAAGAGGAGCAGCATCCTATTTATAAGCAAGGGTCTGGTAAAAAGAAAGAAGAGAGGCACAAAGGAGAGCTAGCCACGAGAGCCAACCTTTGCAGTAATCTGCTGGGCCTGCCCTACTCACTGGGGAGGATGGCGTTCCTTCACTCTCAGTGTTTAAATAAGGGCTTTTTGGTTTCAAAAGGTGAGAATCACCCAGATCCTTCTGCCTAATGGTTTTGCAGAATCTGACCCTGCCTTATGATCACATGGCTTCATTTATGTCTCCATGTCCCCATGTGGCACATCCTTTGGCCACCCTCTCTGTCTACTTGCGGTACATGGCTCTATGGAATTATTATAATGCAGTAATTATTAACAGGACTGGTAACAGCACATTTTCATCATTCTTCCTCACTATGTAGGTCCCCAAAGTGATACACAACGGATGAGTAAAACACTCTTTAGAAGCAGATGAAAAATAAATTTTGAAACCCTGACCTAAAGAGAAGAATTTTTTTTAAAAAAAACCACCTGCTTTGCAAGTGAAAATTCTTCACAAAGTGGATTACATATTAATTAAATATACAAATTTATCATAGTACCTTTAAAAACATTCATTATGCAAAGGACTAAAATAATTAATGAGATGTAACAAACAACCAGGAAAAAAAAACTGCACGGTCTTCTGTCCCATTTAAGTCTTATGACCTTGGTGTTTTCTAAACTGATGATATGCCTATTTCTGCAAAGGGATTCTAACTAAGAAAGCTGTGAAATTAAAAAAAGACTCCTGGAGCATCAACAAATACTATTAAGTAACAGCAACAGCAGCACTGGCTCCAATCTTTGCCCCATGATTGCCCAACTGGCCCAATTTTTAAAATCTTGGAAGTTGTTAACACTCTTTCTCCTTACCTGATCCAATGCGTGCTCTTGACATGGTTGGTGAGTCAATTTTGTGGGTTGGCACCGTCAGATAGTTGTTCATCTGAAATCAGAAATGCGCAGCCACCTATCAGAGAGTCTTCACCACTGAGAAACCGATAGCGTTCCCTCCTTCTCTGTCCCCCTCTTTGCCTTCTGCATACAGTGGTGCGTCGCTAGATGATGATAATCCATTCCTATGCGTGCTCTTGACATGGTTGGTGAGTCAATTTTGTGGGTTGGCACCGTCAGATAGTTGTTCATCTGAAATCAGAAATGCGCAGCCACCTATCAGAGAGTCTTCACCACTGAGAAACCGATAGCGTTCCCTCCTTCTCTGTCCCCCTCTTTGCCTTCTGCATACAGTGGTGCGTCGCTAGACGATGATAATCCGTTCCTATGAAATAGCTGTTTAGCTAAATAATCGTCTAGCGAAAAGCATTTCCCCACTGGAATGCACTGAAACCTGTTTAATGCGTTCCAATGGGGAAGAATTGTTGTCTAGCGAAGATCGGCCATAGGAAAGCTGCTTGGCGAACTGCCAATCAATTGTTTAAATAGCTTTCTTGCAAAGCTTAGGTCCCGAAAACACCCATTTTGCGAGCACGGAGGGAGCTGTCAAAATCGTTGTCTAGCGAAAATTGGTTTGCGAAGCAGGGACCAAACATTGTCCCCCGAAATTCCCCCACAGGAATCACTGTTTTGCGAATTGCTATAGCGATTGCAAAAAGTCAATGTCTAGCAAAAAAAACTGTCATGAGGGTAACTGTCTAGCGAGGCACCACTGTACAGATTTAAGCCATAGAAAAGCCTTCCTGCTCCACTCTTGCATCTCAGAAATTCATCCTTCTTCATTCAGCTCAGTTGTACTGGCTAGCCAGCAGCTCAGAGGTTTGTTTTGAGTAATCTTGTTCTTATTTTTCCAGATTACAAAAAAAAAAAAAAAAAAAAACCTGCATACAAATGGTATCGAAAGTGCACAAGGGGCACCACTGTACAGATTTAAGCCATAGAAAAGCCTTCCTGCTCCACTCTCGCATCTCAGAAATTCATCCTTCTTCATTCAGCTCAGCTGCACTGGCTAGCTAGCAGCTCAGAGGTTTGTTTTGAGTAATCTTGTTCTTATTTTTCTAGATTACAAAAAAAACCCTGCATACAAATGGTATTGAAAGTGCACAAGGCAAAGCAGGGGAATGCAGTGGCTTGAAAAGAAATGGAGGCAGCCCTACTGCAGTCTATTTAAAATGGAGAAGAGCAACCGTCTGCATCACCTACTGTGCCTTTGGCACTTCTCACCACTGGAATGATAGTCCTGAAAATTTCCCCCAAACTGGATTTGGTTCTTGGGATGACGAAAAGGTGTCTGGACTCCATGAATAACCCATCCCCATTCCCCTCTTTGAACCTAAGCACATGTTGGGAGTTATCATCCCCAAAATGTCACTTTCCTAAGTTCTGATCTGGAAGGCAGCAAGGGGAAGCTGCCCTATGATGATTCTTTTTTGACTTATTGAGTTCAAAGGGAGACGCATTGGGACCGACACAATTCTCTCCATGGCGTCCAACCCTAAAAAGCCTGGAACCCCAACAGCTGACTGGCTTGGACATCTAACACATACGTTCTTTGCTTCAGCCCAATCATTTCTACATTTTTAAAAATAACAAGTATAACCACTATAATACATTCATGTGAATTATGCGCTCTCCCAGAGTTTTGAATTACATTCCGAGATTTCAATTCTCTGAATCTGGGGGATTCCACACACTGTGGTTCACACAAGCAACTTTTTCAAGCTTTGCAATTTGCATCATTTAGTTTGATAATCCCATCTGGAGTTAAGAGGTGGAAAGATTTAACACGTGGTCAAAATAACACTGAGAAAGGCCTAGAGAAAGCGTAAATTTGTTTGTCTGTATCAACTTATATACTGCCCCATTGTGCAAAGCAACCTTTCGGCTGCTCACAGCAAAAACATACAAACAATAGAAAACAACACAGTGCAATACATAGACACATATCAGACAAGCAAACAAAATCAATCCACCCACAAAACCAGCGAATCAGGCAAACCCTTCTCCAGATAAACAGGGACTGAAGAGAAGGGTCGTGCCTGGCCATCCCAGGACCTCGCAGTGACCACCCTCCAAGCTGATTTCAGTTTTTCCACCAACCCACCTTCTGTTCCAGCTGCCGAGCTTTCTGCCTCCTCAGCAACATCTGGTTCCAGGCTTCCTCATAAGGGTCTGCGACCAAAGTGTGTCGGTTGTATGAGCGCAGCTAGAAGGAAACTCAAATGAGGTTAGGCATATGGACACACATGCACAAGACACACAACATTCCATGTGTTTGAAGGCAATGAGGTGTCTCAGGCAGATCTCAGAGGGGTGTGTGGATGCAATGAAAACAATGGAATGGAAACATTCTTTTTTTGGACTACACTCCATCACAACCACGTTGTCTGGGTAATCCTGGGAGGTGTAGTCCAAAATAGTGACTTTTTAAAGCTTTGTGAAACAGCAGCAGCTATTCAAATGGAGCAGGGATGTGCAACTACCAGGTCTCCATGTGTTACCAAACTCCACCATCGGTCAGATCCAGCCAACTCAGCTAACAAACAACGATGAGAAGATTTGGAGTCTAACATCACCTGGAAGTGTGCCTTCTGCCTGTTCTGAAACAGAGGGTATCACCTTCAGTTGGTGCTCTTGATACACTCTGGTGATAGGGAGGAAGATAGTGGGCCTTCACTGTGCTTGCCCACTAGGACAATGTACCAATTAAGGGCACTAGAGATTGATGTCCATTTCTCTTCCCTAATAGCCAAATTAACCTCAGCCTGTGTAGTAGTAGTAGATGTCATCATCTCCTCGCAAAACGTGGCCTTGAGAACCAAGAGGAAGGCATTGCCCATGTATAAGAACCTTAGAACTGCAGAGTTGGAAAAGACCCAATGGATCATGGGTCAAAGAGCCCCAGTGGGGAATCGAACTCCCAGCCTCTGGGTCTGCCTCCAGAGACCTAAGCCACAGAGTGATCCTCAACTTGGAGCAGTTAGAGGAGGATCCAAGGAAGGGTATTTGTTTGTTCTAGTTCTCTATTGCGCCATCTAGTGGCAGGGCCACTACTCTGGGCAGTTTCCAACAGTGAAATAAACATAGAGAGCACGGACACACCCCAGGCAACCAACAAATATAAAAAATAATAAGAACTATGTCACTAAACACCCAATATGGCGGCAATGGACACGACAGTGCAAGAAGACCCCGGAAGAAGGACTGTTGGAAATGGTTTTGATTTATCCTGATTTTCTGGCCCTTTTTCTTACCCTCTGCCTAGTTTTTTGCAGGTTGTTGCGTAGAATCTTCCGGATCTCCTCCTCCTTATCTTTCGAGAGGGCAGGCAAGATGCGCTCCACAGGCAAAGTTTTGGGATTGATATTCCTGCAAGTGAGTTTCAGAGAATAAGAAAGTGTACAACGTTTGGGCTAAAAGGAAAAAGCACGGCTCCCTGTTCTTGCCAACCTGATTTCGCCTTCGTACGACCACCAGGTGTGATGTACTGCTGAGACTGCACCTGGAGCAAGAGCGCCACATTCAGGTCTTGAGCTGAGCCATGGAAATCACTTGGTGATTTTAGTTACATTCTCACCGAGAGAGTCAATTTGCTTCTCTCCATAGCCTACTTCAATTTATGCCCCCCTTCCACAAAAGGGAAAGGAAAAGGAAAAGAAGAGTAAAGTGCTTGAGCAATGGACTTTTTCAGAGTTTTTAACCCAGTACCTCTTCGGGCAACATTACCCCAATGAAAACAAAAGGTTCACCTGCACTCAAAAGGATACAGGCCTTCTTTAGCATTGGAAGTGGGGAAGAATAATTATTCTGGGCTTCTGAACTGGATTTGCGTACAGCTTCTGTCGGCTAAGACAGAATCTAGGACCTGTTTCTAAACCTTGCTGAACCATCAAATTTAGGGCCAGTCTTTCAAAGTGACCTACCTCACAGGGTTGCTGTGAGGATTGAAGGAGAAGGAAAACAGCTGTGTTCACCACTTTGACCTCATTGAAGCATTGGCGGGATAGAAATGCAATGAATAAAGTATCTAAATAGATAGCAAGACTCAACTGAGATTTTTCTGGATCCTTGAAGGATGCAGTTAATCACTAAAATATATATAAGAGTGACTAACAAACAAAAGTATTTTAACAAAATGTTTCTGCATCTGCCTTTCTCAGTTGCGCTGATAAAAAGAAGTTTTTTTTTCCGACTTGGCATTTATGGAACCGAGAGGACAGGTTCACTCCAAAGCCGATGAAACCTCTCCTTGCTTTGGAATGCCCCGTCCTCTGGGTTCTGTGATTGCCACCCTGCAATTAATAAAGTAAGTGACATTTGTAAAGTTAAGGAAGCTTTAATGTAATTATAACAAAAGCCCCAAAACAAAAAAGAACTACAAATCAAGAAATCCACATCTCATTGTCATAAACCCACCTAAACAGTTCTATTGTTCTCTCACTCTCTGCCCAACCAACTACAAAATGAAGATATTAATACAAAATGTCCTTACTGGTTGTCTATAGATTGATAAGATTAATGTATGTAGAGTGCTCTACATAAAGTATTCAGCGTTTTCTCCTCATAGTCCATGTGTATTTGCATGGGTGTGTGAAGGGGGAAGGGATGGAGGGAGAGAGAGAGAGAGAGAGACAGTTTCCCTCCTTAATGGATTTAAAGCCCCATGTTTCATATTTCCACAATGGTACTCACTGCATGGAGACGGTGGAGACGGCCGAGGGAATCTTGCCCATCCCCCCACTTTCCACCAGTTCAATGGCTTGCTTCATCTCCATCTTGTGATAGAAGGCAATTAATTGGGGCTCCTTGGAACGTTCGCCAGCAATCAGGCATTTCTTCACGTACTTCTTGTTGAAGCGGTTCAACCTTTAGAGCAGCAAAAAATAATGAGGAGAGGGAGGTGGACAAAGGGAGATGATTTAAAACAGCAGCAGCATAACCGTGTGTTGTTGTCGTGGGCCGCCAAGTCATAACTGACGTAGAGTGACCCTACTAGGGCTTTCGAAGTAAATGAGATATTTAAAGGGTGGTTTTACCAGTTCCACAACACCAGTGAATTTCAATGGCTGAGCAGAGAGAGAGAGAGATTCAAACCCAGGCCTCTTGAGTCCTAGTCCATCAGTCTGTCCACGACTACACCACACTAGGTATCCCTACAACCAGACCACTGGATAAAATAACCAGGAAATAGTTGGTGCTGGCTGATGCCCATTGGACCTGGTGTAGCAGAAGGCAAGGTGGTCACAGGGAGAACCTCGTCCACTTCGTCTTCAACATGACAGATGGCCTTCCAAATTCTGTTTAAAAGCCTCCAGTGAATGAACTTCTGCCAACTCCTAAATCAGCCCATTCCATTGTTAACAGCCCTTCCTCTTAGAAAGTTTTTCCTAATGTTTAGTTTAACTTTTTTTTTTGTAATTTGACTCCATTAATCAGATGGGTAACTCATGCTTTCCAATGTTACCTATTGGGAGCACGCTTTACCCTGTTCACTGACCATGCCCTGCTCCAACAGTACAACAGATAAAAAGATTCAAACCCTAGGCTAACTTGCTGGAACTTAGTTCTCCAAACCACAGCATTCTCTCTCCGTAGGAAGGGGGAGGCTCATGTTAACACAGATCATTCCTCTTGGTCTGGTCTAGGAAGGGGGGAAGGCAAGGGCCCGCTTGGTGATGGTGGGTGTCCCGTGAAGCAGGGAACAGTGGCACAGGGGCCCCATTTTAATGGGCTGTCTTGCCTCCTACCTTGGCCTGCAGTTTCGCACGGTGAGTTCCCCTGTCAACCTGGGAGCGGCACAACCTGGTGTGTGTCAACTCAGGGGAAACTCGGATGGGAAGAGCCCAGACCCAGACAGCAGGAAGGGGGCACTCAAATGGTGCTCCTAGAGAGGGAGGCTCATACAGGGAGCCCCAGCTCAGAGAAGCCACCCCTGGAGAGGAAAAGAGGGCCTTGGGTCTGGGGCAATGGATGGGGAGTCCTGGAAGGGCCAGGGCAGTTGGGCTGAGGAAGGAGGCAGCCCGGTGCAGCTTACAAACTGGAGACCCCAACATGGTAGTTGAGGAGGAGGAGGAGGGTGTTGAAGGGTCCGGGAGGGACATCCCAGAGAACCCTAGTGAAGGCTACTAAAGAGAGGTGGAACTCCCAGAGGAAGCTGAACCCTCTGGGGACTGGGAATCCCTAGATAAAGAAGAATCCTGGATGGGGTCCCTGGTCCAGCTCCAGGTCTCTCAGAAGGAGGCTGGCCACTACCTTAACCTTTGTCCACCTCCTCTCTCATACTGGGGGGAGTGGGAGCATGGAAGAAAGAACCGCTTGGCTCAGGAGCCCAGTCCCAGGGAACCAAGGGTCACTCAGCAGAGAGGTTGGCAAAGCTAGAGGCAAACAGCATAAGCCAGGCTTGGGAACAAGGGGGGAGAGACTGAAGAAACCAGCCCCAACGCCCTCCATGTGGGCATATCGTCCATCCTTCCTGCAGTCGCCCTGATCTGGTTTGCTGGGGGCATTCCCATGGAAATCAACCAGACTAGACTCCCTCCCAGTGAATATAACTGGGTGAAAGGAGGAGCCAGTTTTGTTTAATTTTCCCCAGGTGCTTGGACCGTGCAGGGAACACACCTGGGCACAGTCGAAAACAGCTCTGTTGTAAATCCCTACGCTGTTGCCATAAACCCCATTTTGATTCTACCCACTGTGTAGTTGTCTACGGGTCAAGGGAAGGGAGGAGGATGTGTTCATCGACCCGACCCAGGCCGGCAGGGCTTACAACACAAACGACATGAAAGGGAACCTCTTTTGTGTTTGGGGTCTTTTATTTAAACACGACTGTTACATACAGCACTGATGTTACCTGTCTGTCATGGGTTTGGAGGGAAAGTTCCATCCTATGGAGAGTGGAAGGCGGGACATCAGGAGGAGGGGCTGTACTGTATATAAATGTGAAGCCTGTGTGGTGAGAGAAGATGCTGAGAGAAGCTGAGAGACACTGGGTTGTGACGAAGCAGCAGCTGGGAAGAAGAAGCTGTTGTGGGAGTCTGTGTGTCAGACAGGGTACTGCTGTGTGTCAGAGTACCAACCTGATAGGTTCAGGTGTCTGTTGGTTAGCCAGAACTGATAGGTTCAGGGTCTGTGCTTCAAGTTAAGGGTTCTGGGTGAACCAAACTGTATGCTTGTATGAGTGTGAATAAGCCACGTTACTTTATCCTATTCACCTGATTGTTTATTTTTCCCTGTGTGTATTTAAATAAACCTTATTCTTTTTATTGTTTAAAAATCCATCCCTGGTCTGTGTGACTTCTTACAGGGAATGGTTGGTGGCAGCTTAGTGTAACTGTGTGACAGATCCCAGTAGGTCTGGGTTTGTCACAACGACAGGCCCACACCTCCCTGTTAAGAAGGACCAGAGCCAGAAAAGCTGATCCCCTTTGTTACTTCGTCCTCCTCTGGAAGATGATGCCATCAGCAAGGGAAGTGACGAGTTTACATGCTCAGCAGAGTTGGGCTTTCAAGAAATAACTGGGTAGCTTACAGCTCCCATTTCTGTATATCTCTCCTCTTTCAATGTTTGGTTACCAACAATTTATAGCTCTCCCACCTCTGGTTTAGGCAGTAAGAGAGAAACTACGCAGCTCCAGTGAGTGCACAGGAGCAAAGGGATAATTAAAATGTAACAGGACTAGACAAATTTGGCCACAGAGGCAATGCTTAAAGAACCTCCTTTAAGGTCTGTACAGCTGATAGACACTACCACTAGGATCTTTTCAGCACTGGCCTCATATTTATTTACAGTATTTAACACTTCATCATGCCTTTTTTTAAAATCTGAAAAGGCTCCCAATTGATTTCAGTATGGTCAATAAAAACAAGACAGTCTCTGTCTAAGGTCTACAGTCTTAAAGGGATGACTTGAAAGGAAAAGGAGGTGGGAAGAATGAGGAAAAGAAGCAAAGGGAGGCAGACACCAGTTCCCCCCTCTTGTTGCTTTTAAGCCTTTATTCTGCTTTTTACCGGAATCCCCCTGCCAATCATATTTAAATTGCAATGTCCTTTTATTGATCTGGCCAGAAATGGCTCATGCTGCTGTTTTAATTGCAAAGCTCTTAAGAGTTTAGTTTCATATGTTTGAAAGAGACTAATTATAATCCACCAAAAGATAATTCTTTTTGGGGAAGACGATGGATGAACACAAAAAGAAACACGCTGGCTGAAATCCTGTTGAGTAGCCATGTAGGTGTAACTTGACCTGGTGCCTGCAGTAGCTCGAGTTGCACCAAGATGGAAGTCTTCTCCACGAAGCACTTCTGCAGGTGCAACTGGCAGCCAGGTTTTCATAATTCAGATTGCCTGGGCATAACACCTGAGAGGCTTACACTGGAAGAACTTTATATTCCACAAGGATCAATTGGATTCAAGCTGTTGTTTTGTTTGCATTTTCTCCTGTGCACTTACTTGTCCTTCCAGTGGTGGTGGCCATAGTGGCCGCATATGTCTTCAATGCCCGTCAAAAGATGATCCAAGAACTATTTAGAAAGAAGAAAGGCACATTTGTGTTTTTTGATTTACCGCACAACAGCCAAATATTTCACCAATGCACTGGAAGTGGGGATGGGCACAAAACGCCAGTTCGGCGGTTCGTGATGGTTCGGCCGATGGCCCAACAGGTTCGGCACCCACAAGAGGTGGGGAAGGGAAGCCGGGGTACTGTCTCTGAGTGGGCACCCACTGAAGGAACATCTATCAGGCTATTGGCTGAACCAGCATGGATTGCCGAACCTTCTAATTGGAAGACTAACTTGATGACATACGGCTATGATGTAATATTCAGTTGTGTTTCAAAACAATTTTAACAGAAAGGACAATCATGTTTCTCGGAGTAAAATTCTCCACAGAAACATTTGAGGGAGGGGCCTCTGGTGGCTGCAAAAATGGAATCACAGATAGCATGTTTACATGTTGTTGCCCAGGCCTGTTTTAAAACAATGTTGTGGTACTACCGGTATGATCCCCAGAACACCACCGTGATCCTGAAGAAGCAAACTCATGAGGCGCTGGAGTCAGCACCGACTGCTTCTATGAGTGGACGATTTGAAAAAATTACTCTCCCTGATGAAGCATCGCCGTCGTCGTCAAACACTATTGGGCGTAACCAATGAAAAACTGGAGTGGTTTTGCAAATAAACAGAATTTGTTCTTCAACAACTAGCTAGGTTTTCCATTGGGATTTTTTAAAAAAGAGCCATTGTCCTTTTTCACTGAAAGGAGGAAGGACAAGAGATTGTCCTTCCACAGGTGAGATCAAGCTTGAGACTCCCTAAGAGCTGGGTCTGGGCCCAAGAGAGGTGCAGTGCTACAGTACGCCTGTTGGGGGCAGCAGAGCCCTGTACCAACTGCTGCATTCCTGAGTTAAGAGACGGTTATTCTATGAGGAAAGGTGTGAGGTAAACTTATGTGGAAACCTTTGGCTGCCTATAATTTTTAAAAAACAGTCGTAACCTATTGTTTAAACTACACAGTCTCATTATAGATATGAATTTCCTTTTTAAAAAAGTCAGTAACATATAATGTATGTTACTGACTGGCGCCTGGGCACAAGTATTGTTTATTAACTTTATAGGTCATTAAGTTCTATGAAGCTATAAAGGTCATAAAACTATAAAACTCTCTGTGTCCTGTGTCCAGCTGCCTGAAAGACTGTACAGTGGTGCCTCGCATAGCGAGGTTAATCCATTCCGGATTAACCCTCGCTATGTGAAAACATCGCTAAACGGAACATGAAAACCCATTGGGCCCTAAACTTACCGTTCAGCGAAGTTTCCTCCATAGCGGCAGCCATTTTCGCGCCCTCGGTAAGCGAGGGGAGGGCGCAAAAACGCTATGCATGGCCATTTTGGGTGTCCGGCGGCCATTTTAGAACCACCGAACAGCTGATCTGCGGGCATAGCAAAGCGAGGATCGGTACAGTAAGTGAAACGCTTACCGATCGTCGCTATGCGAGTTTTGACCAACGCTATGCCTCTGCATTAGCGATCCCGAAAAGGGGATCGCTATGCGGATTCGTCGTTGTACGGTGCGCTCGTTAAGCGAGGCACCACTGTATTCTATACCAACCTACACAAGCTCTGAACTGGCTAGATAGCTCAGTTAGTTTAGGTCTCTGACTATGGAGCCACAGGTTGGGAGTTTGATTCCCCCTCGGTGCCTCCTTGACAGGGGCTGGACTTGATGATCCAGAGGGTCCCTTCCAGCTTTGCAATTCTAAGATTATTATATGTGGGCAAGGTCTTCCTCTTGGTTCCCAAAGTCACATTTTGTGAGGGCATAAAGAGAGGCCTTTCTCAGGAGCTGCTCCCAGGCTCCGCAACCTTTTTCTGCCCTTCAACAGCAAAGACTCTTCTATTTAGGCAGGTTTTCAGCAACTCACTGGCTACCAAAGATGGAGTTTTAAATGGGTGACATCATCATTATCATCATCATCATCACTGCTGCTACTGTCATTAATTGATGTACCTTTTAAAATGTGTTTTAAATTGATTTTTAATATATAAACCTATTTAATTATGTTTTAATCTTGTTACCTTTTTTAAAAAAAATCTGTGCTTGTTTTTCTGCTATGTTGCAAACTACCCTGAATTCAACTTCTGGGAGAAAAGCAGGTTACAAACAAAATAAATATACTGTATAAAACATACTTATCAAAAAGAGGCATTCACTGATGACACCTTTCATAACATAGAAAAACCATTTGTAATTTTGTTACGCCTTCATTATGCCAAACTCCCCTAGCAACTTTTTACAACGAATATACTGTATGTGCATTACAAATACTATGTTTCATGTAGTTATTCTCAGTAACTAGAACAGATTTTTTTATGAGAGAACATTACACACAGAGAGAGAGAGAGAGAGTTCACTGTGAAGCAGAAAAGAGCCATTACCTGTGTATGAATTTCTTCGTTGATGGACCTCTTGGTCTCTTGCTTTTTTTTCACTGCGAGGAGGTCCACCAGTGGACGGATGGTCATTCCCTGTAGAGAGACAAGCCCACTTATATCCAAAAGGGCCTCATGGGCAATACTGGCCTGTGTTTGGGTAGATTCAGCCAGAGTTTCCTTCAAGCTGTACTTGCACCCTTATCCTCTCAGCTCCTTATAAGCTTCATCTCCCTTAGTTCCCCAGAGTTGCTGCCATCTGTATTTGCTATCAGGATGGTGCAGTAGCTGGAGTGCCAAACTGGCGCTTAGGAAATCCAGGTTCACGTCCCCAATGAGCTCCAAAACTCACTGGATGAGCTTGGGCCTCTCCCTGTCCCTCAACCTGACCCACTTCACAGGGAGGTTGTAAAGATAAAAGGTGGAAGGGGGATAGCCGTGGACCCCGCCTTGAGCTCACTGCAGGAAACAGGCGATACAAATCTGATAAACCCATTTAATATCTAGCACAACAGAAAGCAAGCAGAGACAAAACCTCTTGTCCTCAAACGCTTCTGCTCTGTAAGTAGGCCAACCTTCGACCGACAACTGTTGTAAAGATGTCCCCAGGCCCGGCAAATAGGGGAGGCGATAAGAGGCCTACCTGCACAAAGACTGTGAAGAAGATGACTGTGATGATGGCTGTCAGGAACATCTCCCTCATGTGAAAATGCTCATAGTCGAGAAGGTAACCCAGCGAGAAGGCAATGGCCCCTCGCAGGCCACCGTAGGCAATGATGAACTGGTCTTTCGGGGTTAGTTTCACGATGCGGAATTTGTTGATGAACCAAGTCAGCCCTAGGACACCTGAATATATAACAGAATGGTGAAAAGCTGAGGATTATTAAAATATGTGAGTGTTGCAAGTTATCCAAATTATGCCCTGTATACACTCTGACCTTGCTTCCATGCTGTCAATGGCTGATCTACAACAATGGCCCTTTAAGTGACTTCTATCATGCGACATGAGCACAGTCAGGAAGATATCAAGATGCACCCAGGCAAAGGAGACGGTTAGCAAATACAGTGGTGCCCCACATAGCGAGGTTAATCTGTTCTGGATTAACCGTCGCTATGGGGAAACATCGCTATACAGAACGGAAAACGCCATAGAAACGCATTAAACTTAGTTTAATGTGTTCCTATGGCTCTTAAACTCACCGTTCTGCAAAGTTTCTCCATAGCGGCAACATTTTCGCGCCCTCGGTAAGCGAGGGCAGGGCACGAAAATGGTGCGGGCGGCCATTTTCTGCACCCGGCGGCCATTTTGGAACACCGATCAGCTGTTCCCAAAATGGCCCCTGGGTGCAGAAATGATCGCAATGCGATGTTTAGCCTATGGGTCGCTATGCAGATTCTTCATTAAACGGTGCGCTCGTTAAGCGAGGCACCACTGTAAATACACACATGGGCAAGCTCAAGGATATAGTCTTGAATCACATTATGGAGGAAGAATGTTCCTATCGCGCTCGTTAAGAGAGGCACCACTGTAAATACATGCATGGGCAAGCTCAAGGATATGGTCTTTAATCACATTATGGAGGAAGAATGTTCCCATCGTCACCTCATCAACTAATTTGATTCAAAAGGAAAATTCTTATCCCCAATTCCATTAACATATTGAACCTGAGAGCGAAATGCCACATGAACACTCCTGGGAGGTGCCTAACTCAATATATTAAAACCTCCCTAAATGAAGAAAGCTAGCACTTCATAAACCAGAGCTTAAAATATTTTTTCTTGACATGCTGATTTTTTAAAAGCAGAGATTTGGAGGCAGGGCAGGATCTCCTACCTTGGCATGTTGGGAAGCTGGCAAAGCCCATTTGCTGCCTACCAAATAAGGAGCAGGCAATTCAGCACTCCAAGCAAAGTCCAACAGATGGATCTAGCCACTCTTCTAGCTTTCACTTATTTCTTTGAACTAGCTTTCCCCCCCCATTATAGAAAATTTAAAGGGTGTTTACCCATCTCTGTCACATGCTTAAGAAACTGGGGTCAAGATTTAAAAAGCAATACACTGAGCCACCAACACATAAAAAATGCTCAGCTTTGAGCACAGAGCTTTATTATTACACCTGGACATTACAGATGTATCAGATGGCATGGGGGGGGGAATCCACAACTGAAACAAAATCATGCCCACAACTGGATCTCTAGCAAGGCTTTGAAAAGTTATGTTGGAACTCCAACTTCAGATTCTGGGTATTCAAATCCAAAAAAAAACACCCCACAACTTTTCCAAGTTCTTAGCTGCCTATTTGCTGTGGGCAAATACTGCATAAATACAGAATACTAGCTTGAAGCAGAGGAAGTTTTTAAATTATGTTCATTGTTTAGGCACACCTTATTTCTCTGACACATCAAACAAGCCTTTATTTACAGACGTGTAAATTCTCAAGGCAAGGTGTACTTCTTCCCAGAATAAGTATCAGGAGGGTGAGGAAGGAGACTTCTGTTGAGATAGCATTGACTCCAATTCCGTTATTTCCCATCCTTACCTAATACCCTGGCAACCAAGCAGAAGAGCAAGGTGCCAATGACAAACGTCCAGTTCCAGTGGTGTTTCCCGGCTACAGTGGAGACACCAAGGAAGATAAAAATGAGGGTCTCGCTGACACTGCTCCACATCTTCAGGAAATACTTGATAGTGGTATGGGACTTATGGGAGATGTTGGCCTCCACATAAGGACGCATAACCACGCCGGCGGCAATCAGCCTGCAAGGGAAGAAGAAATGTGCTATAGAAAGCCACAGAAACCACAGGACAGGCAATTAATTTATTTCTTCTGAAGAACCCGAGAGGCCTCTACGGTCCGACAAAAACCCACTCCAAATGGCCCAAGCATAGTAAATCACACTCTGTGTACATATAAAAGCCCAGTTTAAAATGTCAGGCCTCATGACTTGAGAGGAAGCTTATTTGAATCATTGGGTTGCTACCTGGGGAGGTTTTGATTGTGCAGCTGATCCACCTTAAACACAGTTCTATATTTGAGGTGGATCAGCTGCAACCAAGCCTCATGAGGAAAAACTGAAAGAACTGAAAGCATGTTAAGCCTTGAGAGAGAGAAAAAAAAACAACTGAGGGGAGAGATTATACCTCTTTTTAATCACTTGAATAATTGTCATACAGAGGAATGGCAGGATCTGTTCTCAGTCATTCCAGAGTGTGGAGCATGTAATCATGGGCTCAAGCTACAGGAAACCAGATTCAGGCTGAATACCAGGAAAACCTTCTTAACTGTTAGAGCAGTATGACAATGGAACCAATGATTTTGGGAGGCGGCGAGCGCTCCAACACTGGAGGCATTTAAGAGAAAATTGGACAACCATCTGTTAGATCTGCTTTGATTGAGATACCTGCATTTGGCAGGGGGTTGAACTCCATGGCTTTATGGGCGACATCCAACTCTATTATTCTATGACTTGTATCGGTCAGAATGCTGGACAGAGACTTGGGACACCTCGGTTCCAGTTGCCACTGAACCATGAAATACTAAATGCAGTGGGTGATCTTGACCAGTCAGCCTTTCATTCAATATGACTTACTTTCCCTGAGAAAAAGTGGGATATAAATGTAGCCAGTAAACACCCTCTGTTTACAGAGACACTGACAAATCTCCTTCACATATGTCTCCCACCACTTCTTCTGTCTCTTCTTTTAGAAGAACAACAAAAAAGCATTCAGGATGGAAATACAGAAAAGTGACTCTTGGATTAAAACTCCCCAGATTCCTCCAGCCAACATGGCAATTGGTAGGGGATTCTGGGCATGTGTGTGGTTAAATCCAAAGAAGACAAGCCCCATATCCCAGGTTCAATGGTTTCCATCTCCAGGTGGAAAAGGTAACACCTCCATTCTGAATCCCCAAAGACCCACTGTCATTCAGCCTAGATTGTAACTGAGCCAGAAGGATTTGTAGTCTGAGTCCATAGAAAAGAGTTGTTCATGACTCTGTTATAGGATGATGCAAAGCTGGAAAAGGCGACTGTGTTGTCTGGAAGGTTCTAGGAATTGTAGTCAAGGTTCTGGGGCCTTCTGGCATGACCTAGTTGCATTCACAGTTAATGTGCCACGGACTCAAGAAAACAGAGAAACACTGACTGGTCAGCCCAGAACACAGCAGTGATCTATTAATAGCAAGACTCAATAGCAGAAGAGTCTTCCTTATTGCAGGAAATATATTCGCAGCCACATATTCCTCTTGATCTTTGTGGGAGAAGGTGCTACATTCTGCTAAATGAGACATCCCCAGAGCAGTACTCTCCACTGTGTTGGACTACAACTTCCACTATCCCCAGACAAAGGAAATTGACTACAACTTCCACCATCAAGACAAAGTTGTCATCTGTAGAATTTCAGCTTTAAAACAAAATCAGTCAGTTAGAATTTCCCTTCATTTTCACCTTGTGCAATTTCTGGGGACAATTCGAAGTGCTGGCTTTAACCTATCATGCCTTAAACAACATGGGTCAAAGATATCTCAAGGACCACATCTCTCTCTAGGAGCCCGCCCTAGAGAGCATTAAGATAATCAGGATAGTCCTCTCTCTCAGTCCCATCACCTTCACCTTCCCATCACCTTGTTTGGTGGGGACAAGGGAGAGGGCCTCCTCTGTGGCTGCCCCCAGACTCTGGAACTCCCTCCCACAAAAAACTAGGCTGGCCCCATCCTTACTATCCTTCCATAAGCAGGCAAAGAACTTTTTCTTCCGGCATGTTTTTCCTTAGTGACTGGCTGTCTGACTGACGTTTTTCCGAATTGGATTGTAAAATATTTGTTTGTTTGTTTTTTAGCTTCCAACTATAGTCCTTGTAATGATGTAAGATGTCTTAGGGCCTTTAAACGAGAAAGGTGGGGTAAAAATATAAATAAATAGTTAATAAATAATATGGGCTGGAATTCTGATCAAACGAAAGAGAGAAGGAAAGTGGGGTACAAGCATACACACACACATGTATGTAAGTACTTATGTGTGTATGTGCTTCCATCACCAGTTGTGAGAGCCACTGGATTAATAGGATATGTGTAGACATTGCACCAGTTTCTTGCTCTCTCTAGCTACATTGTTATGCTCGTATGTGCCGTTAAGTCACATCCAACTTAGAGAGTGGTGATTTGAAGCCAAGCCTCTTAAGTCCTAGTCCATCACTATGTCCACTACACCACACTAGAAGCTTCCCCGTAGTTTATTCTGCCCAAACTATATTTCATGTTCTTTTCCAGCAGGCATCCAGCTAGGCCAGTGGAGTCCTCACTTCCTTTCCTAGCTGATCTTACTGACAATATCAGCCTCACTACCAGCTAAGCCTGGGGATGACGCATGCATCAGGCTTGCTGGAGAGCACTGTTGCTAAGTCACACTGTATGACAGGGTTACAAAACAGGAAGAGAGGCCGTATATTTCACTTGATCAACTGAGAGCACTTTTTGCACAACACGTTCATGGATTCAATGTCTGTGTAGGAAAAGAACTTCTACAGTGCTGGTTGCAAGATGGACTTTGTATTTTACAATGTGTTTTTATGATTTTTGCTTTACTTTCTGTACACCACCCAGAGTAGCAATTTGCTAGACGGATGCTATAAAAACTGAATAAATAAATAAACTCAGCTACTTGTGCAAATCATGCTAACAGTGTGATCTTATATATATTTTTTTCAAAAGCAAACTCTGATACATTCAATGTGGTATTCTCCATAGTAAGTGTTCAGGAGGACCAGCTCACACCATTATGTCTCTGAACTTCAAGAATTATTCCCAGAGTCCTCTTTGAACAGTTAGATGTGTGTTGTTGGAAGGATCTCTCTCTCACACACAAGCTATTAACAAGAAAATTCTTTTGAAACAATAACAACTTTGCATGCACTAACACTGGGTATAAGTGGGAGGAGCTCTTCACAACCTAATGTGATTGTCCTCAGGCACTAAACTATTGCTAAACTTTTCCCCCCTGCTTAAGGCAGGCCCTCACTCCCTATTCCTGTTTGTTTGTTTGCTGTGCTTCTCTTGTAAGTCTCTCTCTTTCTCTCTCTTCCATGTGGTGGAGACTCCATTTTTAATTTTTTTATTTTTTAACTAACTGTAACTAGAGACGGTAGCAACTGTAATGAATGAAACCTTTTTCTATTTTCATAAAGGTTCCAGATTGCTTTTTAACATGTAAAGCGCTCGTCACTGTAAAATGTGGCGGGCTACAGAGATTTAAGATATTCTCTCATGCGTTCTCTGTGCAATTGTCCTTTGCACATGATACTCTGCTGGCTTTAAAAGGAATTAACCAGATTCTCCAAAAAAATATGGGCTCAAATCTCACCTGAATTGACTTGGCATTCTTAAAGAAGCCACTATTTCTTAATCTGAGTTAGCTAACTATATGATCGAGACAGGATGACCGGTCTACCTCATAGGATTATTGCATAAACTACCTAAATTATGTATGCAAGACACTTTGGGTGCTTTATGAGGGCTAAACATGACATAGGTTTTCACATCTACACAGATGACTTAGTCTTAGTAATTGAACAGAATGAAAGAGAGCCAAATTTGTCAAGGATTCACAAGCTAAGGTAAAATGTTTCCTAAGAGCGCTCAATTTCCTTTATTTGAACACTGCAGACAGAACACTTGTTTCTTTATTTTTAGTTTGCACAAAGAAAATTCCCTGACAAAGGCAAAACAAAGCATAAAGGCTGCATTTCTCTCAAAGGTGATCGCCAGCAGGCACAGAAACTTAGCTTAATGCAGAACTGGGAAACCATCAGCTTCATATGCCCATCGTGGAAGTTGGAGGGCCACGCCAGCTCCCATGAACCTCACCATCAATTTTAAAAAAATATAAATAATGGGACATGGGTATTTAAATGGAAAAAATTACTTTGTACTTTTTCTGGAGGGGGAAGAATTACAATCAAAAATTTTGAAACAAAGGAAGGGCAAAGGGCAAAAATTCTGGGCCTATCTTAAAGTTCGTTCATTCAAAATATTTTCACCCTGCCTTTCTACTAAAAAGGATCCAAGTACCACAGTATAGCTTACAGCATTAAAAATGAACAGTACAAAAGGCTCTTCTCTCAAACACACTTGAACAATCCTTCCATTCACATGGGCGATATTTCTTCTCCAGTGAGAAAGATTATTGATGCCCCTCCCCCACTGTATTGGCTGGGGAGAATTCCTTTTTTTTTTAACTTAGGAAGTGGCATAGCGCTACAGGAATACATCAACCTAGCATGGATACTCTTTTGTATCTGAAATGGTGCTCTGTCCCTTAGGAGAATATCTTTTAAATTTTGTAAGAAGAGGAAAATAGAAGAGACGGTTTCTTCAGTGTCCTTTCTACTGTCACAACCCACTGCATACGTTATAGGACTGTCACAGAAGAGAATGCCATCCACAGCTCAATTTTGGGAGTGAATTAAGTAAGCACACCGACTGCAGAACAGGATAACAAGGAGTGCTCTCAATCACACCAAATAAACTGCAGCGCCAGCGCTATGCCAGAAAGGAGTACAGCTCCTGGCAAAAGGGGGAAGGTGGGTGGGGGGATTGTTCTTGCTTAAAACACATGTGGTTGCCAGAAAGTAGAATGAACCAAACCATACGAAAAAGAAATCAAAATTGGTAGCTACATGCAGACCTGGTCGCTCCCTGAACTAGACAATTATCTGACTCAAAATAAGTTAAGTTTCCTGTGTTCTCATTTAGATCAGCTCTTTATTCAGAAACATATTGAGGTGAAAAAAATTATTTGTGGTAGAGTACAGGCTGTGTGCATAAAAGATGCACAGTTGCATCCCAGTATCTCCAGAGAGGATGGCAAGTCTGGCCTTCCAGCTCCCTTCTGCCCTCACCAGCATAGCCAGTTGAGAAGGTCGATCAAAGTTACAGTCTAACAACACCCACGAAGACATGGTTCCCACTATTTATAAGACAGTTTTCTTTGTTCCTATGACAGCAAAAAAAGTTACCTTTTAAAATAATTCATTTTTCTTAACGCATTATATTTCAAAAGTAACAAGTTGCTTGTTGCAATACTGAGGAAGTAATTTGTTGTGTTACTTGTGCTGCTTATTACTTTTTTGTTACTTTCCATTACCTTTTTAGAGAAGGAAAATCCTTAGGAATGAAAAGAAAAATGACATTCAAGGTGGAAAAAAATCAAAGTGCCTCAAAATGCCCTTTAAGAGTAAGTAACTTGAAATAGAGGGGCATGGTGGTGCTGCAGGCTAAACCGCAGAAGCCTGTGCTGCAGGGTCAGAAGACCAAGCAGTCGCAAGATCGAATCCACGCAACGGAGTGAGCTCCCGTTGCTTGTCCCAGCTCCCGCCAACTAGCGGCTCGTAAGCATGCAAATGCAAGTAGATAAATAGGGACCACCTCGGTGGGAAGGTAACAGCGTTCCGTGTCTAAGTCGCTCTGGCCATGTGCCCACGGAAAATTGTCTTCAGAGAAAACGCTAGCTCTATGGCTTGGAAACGGGGATGAGCACCGCCCCCTAGAGTTGAACACAACTGGACAAAAATTGTCAAGAGGAACCTTTACCTTTACCTAACTTGAAAATGCCAAAGAAACTTTGTAACCAATGAGTTCCATTTTTAAATGTAATGTAATACACTGTTACCCCAAAAAGTAACTAGTTACAGTTTACTATATTACTGACTAGTTCCTTCCCAGACTGTGCAAATTCCAGCCCTCGCAGGCCAGACCAACTCCTGCTTGTCCAATACTTACGCCATGATGCCTGACAGGTGGAAGAGTTCTGCTGACAGGTAAGCCATGTAGCTGTACAGAAAGACGAACAGAGGCTCAATGACCCGTATGTGCGACGTAAAACGGGAGGTGAAGGCTGCGATCACGCCATAGACAACACCAACAAAAACGCCCCCTAGGGATACCACAAAGAAGCTGAGGAAGCCCAAGATGATGTTCGTAATGGTGATTTTGTCAAATGCGGCAAATTCTTCAAAAAGATGGTAAAGAACCTGGAGCAAGCAAAAGGAGGAAAGAGGCAGAAGTAATCTCAGCTTACACAAGCCATTATCAGAGACTGCCAACAGGGGTACCAGGATGAAAGAGGCAGAAAATTAATAACCTACGAAGCAATGGGGGGAAAATGGATCAAAAGGTAGCATTAAAAATCAAGGCAGCATTTGTCCTGCTGAGTCCAAAACCCATTCCTAATTATTACCTTAAAATAATCAAAGCAAATCCTAGCATTAGGCAGCCTCCCTTGACTTGAACAGAGGGATTTTGTCAGTACGGCAGCTGGATGATGCCCCCCCATTAAGCAGGGAGGTGGCAGCCTGTTTCAGGAGCCAATATGGGGAGTTGTTAGCTCTTTACTTCGTGATGAGTGTGTTCTTACTGCCAGAGACAATGAGGAGAGTTTTTGGGACCCAACCACCTCCCAGGACAACATAATTTGGCCAGCTCTGGGAATAATGCACATTGACTGGGGTGCACTTTGCTGCTCTACCTTTCACAATTTGGCCACCTCAGTTTGCATTGGTTAAAACATGCAGTTAAAATCCAATGAAGCAGGAACCCCAAATAGAAAAATCAAGATTTTAAAAGTGGAGGTTAGCAAATATTAGTCACATTCCCAACACAGTTTGCACAGTATTAATAATCTTTCATCAGGGGAATATACAACAAATATACAAAAAAAGGGTTACACACAATTTAAAATACACACACACAAATATCTGGACTTTTTAAAGGGATGTTGTGTATTCCTTACCAGGTGATAAAGTGATTAAAGTGTTAGGCTAAGATTTGAGAGATCCAGACTATCATCCCCATCAAGCCATGAAACCCATTAGTCAAAATCTTGTTGCTTAGCGTACTATGTTTCACTATCATCCCCATCAAGCCATGAAACCCACTGGTCAAAATCTTGTTGCTTAGCGTACTATTTTTCACTAGAGCAGGCCCACTGTATCAGTGGAGATTTGATGAGTCAACTCTGCGTAAGCTCAACCGATTCAAATGGGACTATTCTAGTACAATTGACTACTTTATGCAACAGGATTTCACCCACTGATTTATAGTGTTTTCTGGTTTCATATTTTCACTGCACGCTACCTTGGGAGAGCTTATCCCCCCGCCCCGCAAAGGGATTAATCTTTTCAACAATTAAATTAACCTTGTTAAAATAAACCACACCGTTTCATGGGAAATGGAGGGTTCTGATATAACATCAGCTTCTGATGTTACAGAGTGAACCAGGGGAAACTGCATCAAAATATTACGATGTGGATTACTGAGCAAATATGCACCATAACTCCCAATTTAGCATCGTTTTTCTTTGGTGCTCTTAAAAATGACCTACAGAAGTGAATCACATTTTTAGTTCTTTTTTTATATTTAGCTATTACTTCCTGAACGTCTCTGAAAGCAGCTGCCATTGGCGAACTTTCTTTTTTTGTGGAGGTACAAAAGAAATCTTCTCCACCAGTATTAAAATGCCAACATTCCAGCATGGGATTATCTTGGAACTCTAGCAATGGAACTCAACGTTTGGGGTATTCCCCTTCTGCCTCCACCTCACACCTGTTTCTTCTTTTAAAATCTCACCATCAGTTCTAGAAGAGTCACTCGAGAAAATCAGAACAACGAAACAGTCACTTTAGTTCATTTGCTCACGATGGGCACAACTACAGCAAAAGACATCTAAATAAGCTTTATTAGAACCTGTTTTATGTGACCACGGAGGATTGCCTGCGGACATACGCTAGCTCTATGGGTTGGAAATGGAGATGAGCACTGCCGCCTAGAGTCGGACACGACTAGACAAATTGTCAAGGGGAACCTTTACCTTTACATTTACTCTTTCGGACTACAATTCCCAGCATCCGCCACCTAACAAGGCCACTACTTATGTTGACTGGGGGATTCTTGACACTGTGGTCCAAAAATATGGCTTGGCCAAACTCTGAATGCATGTAAGGCTCACTGGTAACCCTGTGTCCCTGGCTCCAAATTTCCCATTAAAATAATTATGTACCACAATTCTGACTTACGGTAACCCTTGCCAGGGTTTTCTAGATGTAGAGTGCTCAAAAGTGGTTTACTATTCCCTTATTCTGGGGAGTGCCCTGGAACCGTACAACTTGTCCAAGGCTACACAGGATGGCTCTTCAATTTCCCAATCTCTAGCTCTACAGACAGGCATTCAGCTCACTAGGCTATCCAGCCAGAAATGTTCATTTACTGTCTAAGATTTTTCTAGCCTCTTCTCTTCCTTGCAGCCACCAGCTGAAGATTCTAAGCTGTTTAATTTGGGCAGGCACCGTAACCCAATGTTCTGCAGAGGAAGAATTATTAAAACCATGATACAGAGACAGGAGGACAAACCCCATCTCCAGGGCAAGGAAGCTCAGAGACAGAAGGGGTGAAAAATCTCCTCCTTCCTAGATCAGATGCAGAAGAAAGTTCACCAATTCCTGGAGCAGGGTGAGGAGCTGGCGGAGGGGTGTCTAACCTGTTATTCCCTGCACAATATCCCTTGGGTAATATTCAGAGGACATCTGTTCTGTGATGAAACCACCTCAGCCACTGACAGGCTGGAACTGAGCTTGGTAAAGTTCTGAGAACCCAGAATCCCCAAGCCAACACACTAGACATGCTGAGAGATGATGGGTATCATAGCCCAGAAAATAAATTTTGCAAGCTGTGTGTCTCAGCCTTGGCCTTTCACAGAAGCAGTGAAAAGAGGTTTCCATGCACACAAGCGACTTCCACACACAAAGGAGTCTCTCTAGATTTATGACGTTAAGAGGAAGAAGGACAGACAAAAGAAATGACATCTTTATACAGCAGAATGTGAAAATAGTAAAGGGCAAAGTGAAGGCCAACAACTGAGTTGGCGTGGATGGAACCAATTAATGAAGAGGAAGGCTATCATGATGATTATAAGCTACCTTGTGACTCTTTCTTACCAGTTACAAGGACGACAGCTACTGCTGTTTAGAGACATACTCTAAGCTGTTTAGGTTTGATGAACAGACCATGTTATTCCAACACAACGCTGTCCTCTAAATGAACTGAATTCCCAGGGACTCGAGGGGATGGTTGGGCAGCTCTAGCTCTATCACCCAGCATCTGCTATCTAATTGCCTCAGTCTGCCCAACGGGAGGACCATCCCTGTGTTCTGCTCATATCGACTCGATTGTGGTGGGGAAACAGGATACTGGCCATCAGTGTCGTCCAGCAAGGATTTTCTCTATATCTTGGCACAGTTAGGTAATGACATAGAAATGCGGAAATGGTGCACAGAACAGTCACAGATTCAATCTGCCCAAGGGCATGAAGTTCACTGGTTAAAATGAGTCCCCATGGAACTGGACAGGTGAGATGTGTTCCAGACAGAAAGGAAGTACCCCCCACTGTTGCCTCATTTGAAATCACAGTACATTTCATGTACTTTCATAGCAGTGATGCCTTAGCATGGACTAGGCACACATACAGGCATAATGTTCTTTCATGAAATGTAAAACACAGTTTTCCCTCCGTGCCCTTTTAAATGTATGGCAGCTCGCAAGGTGGGGATTCTCACTGCCTTAGCAATGACAAAGCACAGTGTGATCCTGGATTAAATAAACAGGAAAGCCATCAGGGTGCAATCTGGTGTGCATGTGGCTTGAGAAGGAGACCCGCTCCTGCTTAGGCTTGTCTCTGTTTCTGCCCAGTTGAAGCAGAGCTTGCAAAGTAAGATGCAAATTGCTGGAAATGTACCTAAGGCTCTTTGACCAGCAAATCATGAGATAGCTGCCTCCAATCCAACATCCTCCAGGTGTTTGAGAGGACAATCCCCACCATTTTCAACTGCTGCAGTGTCGACAAAGACTGAGAGCATAGACAAGAGTTATACAAGAAGGTGTCATTTGCTAACACAAATTAATTCTCTGGGAATTTTGGATAGCGATCATTCCCAGTCCGGAATTTACTGAGGTCCTATGCACCAAAATCCACCACTGAGCTACAAAAACATGGGAATGAAGCCTATCAATGGGAAAATAGCTAGTGAATGGCCAAATTAATTCTCTGGGAATTTTGGATAGCAATCATTCCCAGTCCAGAATGCACCAAAATCTACCACTGAGCTACAAAAACATGGGAATAAGGCCTATCAATGGGAAAATAGCTAGTGGATGAATAGATGTCCATCATCTAGCAATCTAGGGCACTTTGGTATGCCAGATGGCATACATACATCTAGCAAAAACAGCCATGGATCACCCTTCCTTCTGAGGTTCCCACAGGCTTACAATGAATCACATTTTCAGACAGAAATATGGGCAACGTAGTCTTATCCAATAAGTCATTTATGATTTCCACATCTTTCTGCTCTCCATGGTTGGTTGTGTGATGCTTAGGCAGAGATGCATTTTGACAGATTATGGAACTCTTCCTCTTTTAAGTGATGGAACCCAACATCGCAACCAGAAGCACAGGTATGCTTTTCTCTTAGCAGAGTCAGATTGCCCTCAGCACAGTGACTGCATCATTCAGCAAATACTTGGAAAATTACCAGTGTTCAGTACATATGGATTCTTTTGTTTCTTATGGTGGCTAAATGACTGACACTGCAACATTATAAAGAGCAATGCCACCCCCTGTCATTCAATGGATTGAGTTTATAGATGACAACGCCTTATGGGTGTTTACCCTGATATTTGGATATATTACATTGAAAGCTATGCTCAGATCACTTACAGTAGAGTTTATATTTAGTTATGGGATTCTGGTTACTATCACTGCTTTTCTAATTTTATTTACTATATGCTTTGTGCACAATAAATGCACAAATGTGCCTGGTAGTACAGTGGTTAAACTGAAGTACTGCAGCCAAAACTTTGCTCATTACCTGGGTTCAATCCCAATAGATGCAGGTAGCCAGTTCAAGGCTGATCTATCTTTCCATCCTTCCAAGATCAGTAAATAAAGTGTATGTGTGTGAGAGGGGGGAATGATGGGAATGTGTTGCCTGCATAATAATTGTAAACCACCCAGAGGCCTCTTTAAACACTATAAACACCACACTTTGTTTTGCTAAATAAACAAACAATAGCAATAGAGACCGCACATCTACAAGTTGAGGACGGATGCCTCTTTCTTCATGTCTGGACCACTTCTACTAGAGTTACGTCCCACTCACCACAGTGACGGCATCATTGAGCAGAGACTCTCCAAACACCAAGATGTGTAACAGCTCGTTAATGTGGATCTCTTCAAACACAGCCAGGACAGCCACCGGGTCCACAGCGGAGATGATGCTACCAAAAAGCAGGTTGGCGATGAGGCTAATGTCATTCAGACCAGTACTGCCAATCTGGCACAGACCATAGAGCAGCGAGCCCACAAAGAAAGCATTCCAGAGTGTCCCTATAACGGCGAAAATCAAGATGGTCCCCAGGTTCTCCGTGAATTGGCGCAAAGGCAGGAAGTAGCCAGCATCCAGGATGATGGGTGGGAGGAGGAAAAGGAAGAAGACGTCTGAACTTAGGATCGGGGGGTCTTCCCCCACAGCTTTGATGAGCCCTCCAACTAGGAGTCCTACAACAATTAACAAGCAGCTCTCGGGAACTATGCTGGAAATGGTTGGAATCACATGGAACCCTGGAAGTGGAAAAAGAAGGAGAAGCAAGGTGAGAAAGGTGAGCTCCTGTTTCGGTGAATTATAGCATAGACCAAATGTCCTATGCCTGCAGCCATATTTGAACACTTTACTTTTTCGGACTACTGCTCCCAGAATCTTCCACCCAACATGCTCAGTGGCCATGGCAGTTTTGTTCAGAAAGACAACATTTCCGTGCTCTGAAAAAAATATTGTTTGTTTCCGTTTTTTCTCCCAATATCGGGACCTAAGGCAGCCAACAAAACGATTCAAAAAAGATTCAGATGAAAACCATAGTAAGATACACAACATTAAAGCATCATTGTATATATTATGATTAAAAAAAACTAAAGGTACAATTATATTGACAAATAATGCTTGAAATGCTCCAGGAATTAGATGACCTGATTCATATTACTTTCCGTTGACATAAAAAAGTCAATCAGACCAGAGTTTTCTGCCTCCAATCTGTAGTTTTTCCTTCCTCTGCTGGGACGTCTTTTTTTTTTTTTTGGAATTGAATGCCTTTGCATCAGTTCACATGGTATGATTGCTTGAGTTGATGTGGAAGGATTTTCAGCTGAAGGACTTGGAACAGCCTCTAGTATAGCTGAGAAGGCCAATTTGAGAGTGGCAATGCCTTTCCGGTTGTTTCGACGCTGTATGCGAAACTGGAGTGTCCTCTCCAGAGAATGAAGCCCGGGTAAAATAATATGGAGGATAGGCTGTTACCTAACCAGCAAATCCCTCCTCTCTACATTGCTGAAGTAGTCCAATGGAAAGGCAAGAGCCAATACAACTGGTTCCAGCGATGTCGCAGGAGTTGGCAGAATGACACAAACTGCCTCTGGGACTCCGGCTCCGGATTTTGCCTTGAGGTTTACTTCTGAAGTCTTTTCCATCAGTGGATAAACGAGGCAGTGGAGGTTTGAAATCAGAGTTTTCCTTCTCCTAACTAGCTGCTGTTTGATTCCTCTCCTCCTCCCACCTGGTGCCTGGTTCTGCTTGCTCTTCCCTTCCCATTCCCCTTCTTTCTCATCCCGTCCTCTCCTTTTTTCATGTTTAAAGTCTTGCTGTCTTAGTGCTATGGCCGCTGGCTGATCAAAGAACAAAAAAGAGTAAGGAACTGGGGAGAAAGGAGGAAGTTCTAAGACAGCTCTGCTCTGGCCATCCATATTTGCATGAGGCATGGTTAGAGCAGAGCTATCTTAAACACCCTCCTTTCTCTGTGCTGACTCCTTGTTCTTTTTTGGGGGGAGAGCTAACTACCCTAGCCTAGTGCTAAGATAACAAGCCCTTAAAGAAAAGAAAGAGACAGAGACAGGGGGAGAGGAAATGAAAACAAGCCCAGGCACCAGGGTAGAAAGGAGAAAACTGAAACTGTTAACAAGCTGCAAACAAGGCTGATTTCCTCCTTCTTTCTGCTAACTTCTGTGTTGCTGGCTAAAGTGAATTAACCAGGAGAAACCTGACTTCTTGGGTGCAACTTCAAGGTGGATCCATTCACATTTTTTGCACTGTGTAGTCACATCACGAATTAATATTAAAATATTTTAAGACACATAGGAAAATAAAAAGTACAAGCATACTCCACTCCACTTCCCTAAGAGCATGTTCAATTGTAAAAAGCCTTCCTGAAGAAAAAGACCTTTGTTTGTCAGCAGAAGGACAGCAGAAAAGAGACCAAGCTGTTAACTGCACCTTGGGAGCAACAACAAAAATAGTCCTTTTCTGGCCTCTCTACAGGACATGCCTGTGACATGGGTAGAACCGAGAGAAGGGTTCATTTGAAAAAAATAAAACTTGGAGAGTGGAGCTTATATGAGGAAGAAGTAGTTCTTCAGATGGCCTGAACCCAAGCGACACAGGTCAAAACCGGTACTCTGAATTGCCCCAACAGCCAATGAGACTGTTGAAACAAGATGTCTTTGTTGTTTCTGCAACAACAGTTAGGCTACAACATTTTAGACCCACTGATATTTCTGGATATTTTCCAAAGGCACATTCTGATAACCCAAGCAATCTGCACAGTAATAGAGGAAGTCAACCTGGTGTGGAGCAAGTGGGCCAAATAATTCTGATAGACTCTGGAGACAGAAAGAATAGAAAGCCAGGCAAGAGGTGGCATAAAACATTTCTTGCCAGCTCTCAGCTATAGATAAAGCAAAGCAACCTTGCAAAACCAAGGTAAGAACCTTTCTTATCCCTCAATACTCAGCCCGCTGTTTAATGAACAAGGCAACTGATAGGCACAGTATGTTCTGTCCTCTAAATTCCTTGCAAAGGAACGAATGTTCACAAGAGCCAGCAATTTTTAATCAACACTTCCTGTTCAGCACATTAGACCATCTGGTTCTGCGTGCAACCTGTTGGGCTGTAGAATATGTCACTCTGATACTTTGAATGTGCGTGTGAAACTGTTAAAGGGAGTGACACCAGCTCAAACTGAGGTGCTCCTTTGCACAGACACCCGCCCCGTATGGGGATGGGCTACCAACAGGCTTGCGATGTGGCTGGGATTCTGCTTACGTCCAAGCAGAAGCCTCGACAGGGTTCTACTGGGGTGCTCTCACTCTGGATTTCTCGCCGTGTGCAGGAGGTTGGACTAGATGGCTTAGAAACCCACTGGCCTAAGATGGAACCCTCCAAGCCTGCACAAACCATAGGATCTCGTGGCCCTCATCCCAGCACTCAAGAAGGAGCGTGTTTTGGCACACAAGCGGCTGCCCGGTGTCATCACATCCCACAGGCACAGCTCAGAAAATGAGTAGACACCCAAACCAGGTTAGTGCTGGCTAGGTTTTGACTGGATTCTAGCCAATAACACCAGTACCTGTTTAGACCCCTGGCCCAGATTCCCAGTTTTCATAAAAATAAAATAAGAATACAAAATGTAAGCCTCTAACCCAGTGGTTCCCAAACATTTAAAGTCAATACCCCTTTTTATAACAGGCGATATCCCCCTGCCACATTTGCGTAAAAAGGCTTTTTAAAAAATAAGAGGTTTCTTTCTCCCCTGGAGGGCCTGTTTTTTCATACATACACATGCACACTAACTTTAATATCCCCCTCCAAAAGGTCAAGGGAGAAATTAAATAATAACAAGGGCTACAACACATACAATGGGCCCTCAACATACAAACTTAATCCGTTCCGGAAGTCTGTTCGTAACCTGAAAAGTTCGTAACTCGAATCAGAATTTCCCACAGGAATGCACTGAAAACCATTTAATCCATTCCGACTGTTTTTGGTTCTTAAGTCGAGGGGCGGTTCGCAAGTCGATTCATTAGTTCCATAGGAACTAATGCAAAGCTGCTTAATCCATTCCTACCACTAGGGGCAGAATTTTTCTCCCCCCTTTTTTTCTTTTGTTTTTTGTTTTTGTTCATAACTGGATTCCACGTTCACAAGTAGGGTCTATAGTTTCCTATGAGATCGGGTTTGTAACCCAAAACGTTTGCAACTAGGGCCATTCATAAGTCGAGGGCCCACTGTATAGGGACACCCCCCAAGAAAACACTTTTGAGACCCCTTTGGGTAGTCACTACCCCCTGGTTAGGAAATACTGCTCTAGCCCTTATAGAACTGGAAAAGTAAGGCAAAACATTCAGTCACTGTATTGCCCCACTGTTCTCCAAGGAAAGTGTGATTCTGTAAGAGGGTCTTAAAATGATTCACCCCCAGATCTTCAGTATATGTTCCAAATGGAGGAAAGTCTCATTCTACCTTATTTGCACAAAAAGCAAGACTTATTTTGAAGAGCCTTCCTGCAAATGTCGAAAGCAACAATGCAAACGAAAAATGGGGGAGGCATGTAGAAGAAAACAGACTCGCCGTGAATCAAAAGAAGTATCTTAGTACTGAAAGCGCTATGGAATCTGTCGTGTTTGCCACAACAGACTTGGTATGGTGTGATGTTATGCAGCTGCTGGAAAAGGTTACTTTCTTAGTTTGCACCTTCCATGCTGGCTGACGGGGATTCTGGGAATTGTAGTCCAAAACAGACCTTTTTCAAGCTCTGTTGCTACCAATCATTCTGGGCTTCCAGAAAAAAAAAAATTTAAGCTAGTTTGTCTTCCACAGCCACCTGGGATCTTAGCTGGGTGCTAATCTGAGAAAAAAAGGAGTTAGGAAAAGCAAAAGGAGAGGGACCATAAAACCTTACTGAGCTCATGCATGCTGTGTATCTTATTTTTCAGAAGGACTAACAGCCTTTGGAAAGGTAACTTCCTCAATCTTTGTGTCTTGGACTACAACTCCCACAATCCCTGTGGTCATTATCCAAAATGGATCTTTTAAAGTTAAAAAGTAACTTTTCCAACTGATTGGGAAAGTAACCTTTTCAAGTGCTCCTGGGCATCTCATTTGATAGTACCATGTATGGGGCTCACAGCAGTGAACGGAAACAGCTGTTGTTGGGTGTATGGTGCAGAAAGTACACAGACTAAGGAAAACTGGAAGCAAAATACTGGAGGGTATTTTCAGGAGTGGGTAACACTGCCGCACTGGATTGATGCTGACTTTGCACTACAGCTATTTCTTACAAAAGGAAACACCTTTCTTTCCAGGGGGAAAGCTGGTTGTCTCTTGCAGCAAAAGCAAGAGTAATGGGGTACATTAAAGATGGGCAAGCTTCGTTTGTTATAAAAACTTCCTCCAGCACTGCAGCCCGGAGAGCACAGGCATTGTGTCTTATGTACATGTTTGCTTCTCCATTTCACTAAGTCCAAAAACAGCCTGTCAAAATATTTAGGTACAGAGGGACTACAGCCACATCCCAGCCGTTCCTGGCTTCTGTCCTCTCCCAGCAACTGTAGTACAGATCACATGCTCATCCTTTAGCACACAAGGGAAGTTTTTGCTGGAACTTGTGTGTAGTGCAAGTATACATAAAGTTCTGTTTCAAAAGGCCAGGAAATTCAATTCTTTAAAAAAAAAACCTCAGGTTTATGAATGAATGGATGCTAAGCTTCAAATAACAAAAGGAAGCCTGAATGTTGTGCT